GGAACAAAAGAAGAAAAGGCACACTAGCCTGGGAACTTCCTCTCTGCCAGAACATTGGAGGCTATACACCACACCCCCTCAACAGTATTTATAGACTCAACACTGAGATCCTGCTCTGTTCCAGTAACAAGAAGCCGAAAGCACCAGCCTGAAGATAGACGAGTGAGACCTCGTCGAAACGTCGCCTAGACACCCCAACTTTTACACGGGAAGACACCCGAGGACACCAAAACCTGCATTCCTGTACCCGTGAAAATCTACGAAAGCAAATATATATATATATATATATGATATTGAAGAAGGAGGGAGAAAGGTTCCTGAGCAATGGTTGCCCAGATTTGTACATTCCAATGTATTTTTCTAATTTATTTATTTTATCCTATTTAAGATATTTCTTACCTGTCCTTCACCATAAGGTCTAGGGTAGGTTACAACCCTATAATCATATACAGTGGTACCTCAGGTTACATACGCTTCAGGTTACAGACTCCACTAACCCAGAAATAGTGTTTCAGGTTAAGAACTTTGCTTCAGGATGACAACAGAAATTGTGCTCCGCTGGCGCGGCAGCAGCAGGAGGCCCATTAGCTAAAGTGGTGCTTCAGGTTAAGAACAGTTTCAGGTTAAGTACGGATCTCCAGAATGAATTAAGTACTTAACCCGAGGTACCACTTTTACACCAAAATCCAATAAAGGAAATTAAAACAAATCCAAAGAATGTACATCAAATAACAGAGGTGGTCTCACAAAAACCACAAATACAAATAGGTAAAGAAAAGTATATTCGGCATACAACAGAAACAAGATTGCTGAATAATACCGCTTCATGGCTGGTACTTTGTGGTTCTTGACAGACTTTATCAAATTTATATCAGAGACAATACAGATCGGAAGGTTAGGGAATTGATAGTTGTTGTTACATGGCAATAGATAAGTTGAAGCATCTCACCAGGAAGTTAAAGCCATTTTGTCTACTTTCAAGTGCTTGTGTCGGCATGGAAAACATTGGCTCAGCTGTGTGATGATGAGGCGTTTTCCATGAACAGCATTTGGTGTGGTGATAACATCTGTATGGAACCATTTGAAGCATCCAGGTGGTGGCTGTAGTCATAATGTTTAAACTGGCTCCCAGGCAGTGATGGGGAGCCTGTGACTCTCAGATGTTGCAGAGGTTGGCAATGTGAACGGGATTGTGTTGGTCACCTGGCTTCCCAACATGGCATATCGCTGCCACTTCCTGAGTTCTCCACAGCCTTGCCCTTCTCAGCAACTGGCAGTACCAAGTCAGTGACACAATCCCACCTGCAGCGCCTGCTACTGACTACAATCCCCACCATCCCCCTAATCATCAGCCCTGCTGTCTGGGACTGATGGGAGTTGGAGTCCAACCACATCTGGAGGGCATCTGTTCCCCACCCCTGCTCCAGATGACAAGAGGGATTTGATCTGATTTGTGATTTAAGCTGATCAATTTTAAAGTGATTCTCACCGGTGACACTGCAATGTCATACCTGTGCACTGCTCCAGAAAACTGAGACAGCCCTTTCCCCCCGCCAGAATATGTCAGCCATTTGGAGTACCTTGCCCTTGCGTGATTTGGGGCCAAGTTCTCGCCCCCCCCAAAAGTGTTTTTTTCTGGGTCCACAATCTCATGTGGTGCCTCAAAACACTCATGGTTTTTTGCAAAATACCTCCTAAAGTGCTATTTTTCAGGTCCACAATGTGCATTTTTGTTTATTGTGCCAGAAAAAAGTGATTTTTTTTGATCCACAATCTCACATGGGCCATGTTACTCGCATGGGATTTCAAAACCTGGAACGTCCCAGATTTGGGCTGTGTTGGAAGGTATGCAATGCATAAGGCGCTCAAACATGAAAGTACTGGCATCTTTTCTTCCTGTTCACCTTTCATTTTGAAAATGAACTTTCTTTTCTTCATTGTGCTACCAGTCTGGGGGAAATGTGTGCTACTAGTCTGTGTAAATGTTTTGACACTTTCCTACTAGATGCCTTTTTATGTATATAAAATAATTGCTTTACCCTCCTTCACGTTATAAACCTGTGACAAACTGTATATACTTCAACAAAACTGTTTTATTTCCCCCCCTTGTGTTCTCTCTGATATTTCAGCTAACTCCTTTGATTTTACATACTTCAAAAGTCCACTGTGGGGGAAGATGCTTTGTTCTTTCTTCATTATTTTGCCTAAGAAGAGAAAGCAAAGAAAATAGAGTAAAAATTTCACAGCACCTGCCCATGATGCCATTTCTTGAAAAAAAATTATATTGCTACTTTCCTAATTTTTCCTAGAATTGGCATCTCCCTCCCTTTCTTTTTGTTCTTCTTTAACAATGAATAATGGAGCAATATTTCCATGTGATGCTAAGAGGTGATCCTTATGACCCCAAATTTGCCCTCAGCGTATGATGAATTCAAAGGGGCACACAACTAGTTGAGAAACGACTGTCTGATTGTTCAGTCTTGCAAACAAATAAATTATCAGCACATGATATAGTGAGCAACAAATAATGCTGATACTTAGAAACTTGAGTTGGATGAATTTGGGCTGCTGAGATATCATTCATTAACAATTTCAGTATGTGGACTCCTTTAATATATGAATTGGTGTCCCCACTACTGAAGGCAGTTGCTCCTTTTTAGGACTCCACTGTATTCGACAGTGGGATGTATACAGCACAAAGCTTGGGTTTCCTTTTTTGGGTACTCTTTAAGGTACTTTGCTACTCTTAAGGTGCTTTAAGTTACCTTAAGGTACGCTTTCACGGATTTGAACAAATTTTGTCCATGATGCCTATTATTACTCAGAAATTACTCAGTAATTATTTTTCTACCACTTTTCTATCCAAAGACCACCTAAGTGGTGCACAAAAGTTAATTGAAAGATAAAAATTAAAATAAAATACAAGTTATAATCTATGAAGTCAAACACTGAGGGCGGTATTCAGTGAAATAATTGCACTTGTGCATGTACTATTGCTAGCCCAAAGGGACTTACCCTTCTTCCCTGCTCCTACCATCCCCAGATATACTCCATGCAGTTGGAGGGAAATCCCAGAACAGATTTAGGGAAGATACAATGGGAGAACATTTTGTTGCACAAGGAGAGGTCCTTGTGCTGATGGAATGCTGGCCTCAGTGCTACATTGAATACAACCCTAAGAAAATCAACATGTCAAGGATGGCAGTGGTAGATAAATAAGGGAGGCTGGAACAATTCAGATCAGGAAAAGCAGGTGAAGAAGCCAAGCACACCTTTCAGGGAAGCACATTCCAAACTATAGGTGCCACAATTCCCAGGACCCTAGTTAAACCCAGCACTGTGAACTGGGGTTGGAACTGGGTTAGAAATCAATGGAACATTATTTATTTACTGGTAACTCTTTTCTAAACTGCCCTTTATAATTCCAGAGTGGCTCACAACCTTACATTCCACTAAAATCAGCACAGTGGGATGCAATAAAATATAATAAAACATATCAACATCCACAGTGGACCCATCAGTTATTTCAATAAGCCTGGGATTAATAACCAGTAATGCCTGGGTGGGGAAAATTATTTAGCAAATATTGGAAACTCATTGGAGTTGGTGTTTGCCTTATTATGGAGGGGAGTTGATTCCATAAACTGGGTACCACAATGGAAACCTCCCCAGGTGGCAACAAAACCAGGAGGACCTCCTTCAAAGATCTCAATATGAACAAATAAATCTAGATATTTAAGTCTGTGAATGTATATATAAAAATTTACATCAGAATCCATTAAATAAATAAAAAAAACTACCCAGCTGGGGTTAACAGAACAGACATTGGTACTAAAACACAAAATAATGGACTGTGAAAACTATTGAAATTCATTGCGCGGACAGGCGGAGTCCCCAGATCCTGCACGGCCCCCTGTCATGTGGAATAACGACTCAAGACAACGTGCTATGGGATTAAATTGGCCACAACTTTATTAAATTTCAAATGTGGGTAGACCTTGGCTCAGGCATTGGGCGTTCTCCCTCCCTGGTCCCCAGCCGGGGACCTAGGGAGCATCAGGGTTATCCAGTGTGTGTGGGGGATGGGCCGGCTCTGGAGAACATATGTTCAAGCAGAGATGGCCGCCCCCGTAACGCCGCCGCCGCAGGAGAGAGCAATGACGACCTTTCGGTGTACGGCCAAAGCCTCCCTTCAGAAAACCCCTTTAACGGGGAACCCTGGTATCGCCGCCGCAAGAGGAAGATGGACAAAAGGATTCCGCCCAAGGCCTGATACCGCCACCCGAGACCGCAAAGATTGCGGTCTCGCCGCCAAGACTACCTACATCTGAAAAACGCCTTTGCCATCCTCCAACCAGTCCATCAGGCCATGCCTGATGTCGCTTAGCCAACGCTCATTGCCAAGGTCCGATAGGTGCACGCCATCCGGCCGAAAATAGCTCCTGCATGTAAACTTTAATGTTGGGGTGTTTCACGACCCGACCTCCCATGCGAGTGGTTGCAGAGCGCACTGCCCTATTGATTTTTTCCACAGTGTAATTGAGTCTAGTGGGTTTGATGTTGCCACGCCAATGCAAGCGTGGTAAAAGTTCGGACCAGAAAATCGTGATACTGGGGTGAGTGGCGTGTACGCTTTCCAGGTCTGCGATCGCTGTTTTGATCAGAATTATGCTTTTTTGCACGACCAAGTCATTTTCGCCGAGGTGGAGCACAACCGCGCTTGGCGGGTGGCGGAACGCAAGTTCGTGACGCAACCGAGGGAGCAGGGCATCCCACCGCATTCCACGTTGTCCGAACCAGGTAATGGAGATCTTTGGCTGCAGACCCAGATGTTCGCCGCCTGGACCAGCAGTGGCGTGGATGGCCGCCCAATGCACTATGCTGTGGCCGAAGATCCACACATGTTTGGTGGTTGAGTCTGAAAGAAAGGATTATATGGTACCTGTCAGTGCCTGCTGGTTGTGTCTAATGTAGCCTTTGAAGGCAGCTGAACGCCAGCGCCCCATTGTTTTTATGTGTTCGGCCGGGAGGCCGCTCGCAGCTGCCGTGGTTGCTGCACCAATGCGAAAAGAATGCCCGGAAAATTGTGCCGGGTCGCCTCCACAGGCATGTATGGCCTTACGCAATATTGAGACAAATTGGCAACGGGTCATGGGGCGGCCTGATGCATGAATGAGGAGGGGGCCTGGTCCCGGAGGGCGTACCTTCAGGAATTTTCGTGTGTCCGCGACAGGGCATGGTCCAGTGTGTGGGGAGGAGGCTAGACTTAGCGTGGAACCCCTGCCCAGTTGATCGGTTTTGGAGGTTCGGATTTTGACCTGTATCATGCGCTTGTCAAGGTTGATATCAGCCACAGACAAGCCCCTACGATGAGGTGACAGTGTGCCAACGCACTCTCCGATACGGAGCGCACCAAAGAAGGCCAGGGAGAAGGCCGCCCTGAAGAGCCTAACCTCATAGTTGGACCAGCAAATGCTGGGGAGCGCATCCCATATCGTCTGGAGGATCTCAATGGTTACTGGCCTCCTCTTATCTGGAATGGGCGGGTGGGAGCGACGCCACCCTGCAATAAGCTTCCTTACGTGGAAAGTGTTACAGGGGTCTGGGAACCAAAAACAGTTGCTGAAGTATGAGATAGCGGCCTTGTGCAGGCTGATGGTCTTAAGGGCCATGCCTCTACGCTTTAGGTGAACCAAATATTTTAGAACATCATGCTCCTTAGCAGCACGTCTGCGTCGTAAACCAAACTTATCTCTGAACCCCTCGAATTGGGACCATGCTCTGGTGTAGGACTGCAATGTTGATGGTGCAAGGGCGCTCAGTACTCCTGCTGTCACTTCTCTCGTCCAAGTTCCCAGAGGTCCTCCGGAAAGGCTTCTGGGAGTTGATCGGCCTCGGGTGCTAGGTCGCGAAAACGCTCCATCTGAAAGCGAGACAGGGCATCTGCAATGTCGTTATTGAGGCCGGGGATGAACCGCGCGGAAAAGGAGATGTTACCTTTCAGACATTCCAGCACGAAGAGGCGGAGCACGCGAATTACCCTGTTGGATTTTGCAGATTGCTTCGCGATGATTCTTACCACCGCCTGGTTGTCCGACCAGAAGCACACCCTGGTGTCCTTGAGGAGGTGCCCCCAAACCCGGAGAGCCACTAGGATTGGGAAGAACTCAAGAAAAGTTAAATCGCGTGTAATGCCCTCCGCGTGCCAAGCTGTCGGCCACGGCTGCGCACACCAGTGACCCCTGAAGTAGACACCAAAGCCAAAGCGACCAGAGGCATCAGAGTGCACCTGTAGCTGTTCCTTAGGCAGCAGCCAATCTTGCCAAAAGGACACCCCATTGTAACTTTCCAGGAAGGTCAGCCATATTTTGAGGTCCTCCCTTATGGTGTGTGTGACCCTGATGTGGTGATGGGGGGCACCACCGCCAGCCGTGAGGCGGGCTAGGCGTGCGCAAAAGGCGCGACCGGGCGAGATAACCCTGCATGCAAAATTGAGGTGTCCTAGGAGTGTCTGGACCTGACGCAATGTGGTCTTCTTCTGGGCCATCATGGTAGTTATCAATTCCCGCAGCGTGGCGAGTTTGGCCGGGGGCAGGCGAGAGGTTTGACTGACAGAATCCAGTTCAATACCCAGATATGAGATGATAGTGGTTGGACCTTCGGTCTTGTCTGCTGCCAGTGGAATGCCTAGTTCAGCCGCCAGCTGAATGAAGCATGCCAGCACCCTAGCGCATGCGTCTGAGCCCGCTGGCTGCACGAAAAAGTAGTCATCCAGGTAATGGGAAATGCAGTGGGACCCCGACCTGCGTTTCATGGCCCATTCCACGAATGTGCTGAAGGTTTCAAATGCAGCGCATGCGATGGAACAGCCCATGGGCATAGCTTTGTCAAAGTACCATTGGTCCTGGAATTTGAAACCTAGCAACCAGAAGTCCCTGGGGTGGACTGGTAACAGACGGAAGGCTGATTCAATGTCACATTTTGCCATGAGTGCGCCCGGGCCACACTCCCTAACCAGCCTGATTGCCTGATCAAGAGATGCATATTTGACTGAGCATTGTTCTTCGGAATGGCATCATTTACTGACCCACCCTTTGGGTAAGAAAGGTTATGTATTAATCGAAACTCGCCTGGTGCCTTCTTAGGGACAATACCCAGTGGGGACACTATGAGGTTAGGAAATGGAGGTTCTGTGAAGGGACCTGCCACTCGCCCCAGCAAGCATTCTTTGGTGATCTTCTTCTCGGCAATGTGTGGCATATCTCGGACAGACTTTTGGTTGGGAGGATTGGTGCACGAGGGGGTGCCTACCACTGGGATGCGGAAACCTTCCTTAAAACCCTCCTCAATGTATTTTGCTGCCTCTTTATTGGGGTACTGGTGTAACAATGGCAGCATTGCTGATAGAGATATGGGTGAGGGGGCTAGGGAAAGGAGAGCACTATTTGCGGGCATTGTTTTTGCTTTGCTGAGCGCCAGAGGGGCCTGTAGAGGCTCCGGCCTCTCTTTTGTCTTGAGATGTGCCTGCGCCTGATCCGCGGGGGCCTCGAAAAAGCTTCTTCCCCCGAAAACATTTCATGGTGGGGTGAGATCCACCACAGCGCTCGCATTCATGAGCAAAGCGACATTTTTCTCTGAGGCAGGAGCCGTTGTTATACTCCCAGCAAGATCTCTTGGGGGCCTTGGATTGATATTTGGACTGTTTGACATTGTCAGGCCCTTTCTTGAAGAACGGGGCAACCAACTCAGACCACACGTCATCATCTTTGATATCCCATCTAACTGTGTCGTCCTCTGCCGCCCGTTCCCTGAATGCCTGGTCATAGGCGAGTGCCGCCTCCCCCCCAGACATGGCTTCGGCCTTTAGGATGATGAGTAGGTAGTTGGACAAGTGCCAACCCCTGTCAGGGTAACTAGCGACTATAATACCCATGTAAGTGGTGTATGCGGTGAGCCAATTACGAAAGGTACGCTCAACACTCACTTTTTTATCTTTTTTCCTCTGCTCGGCGGATTTAGATTTTAGGGCTGTTGAAGCGGCAGGGGATAGCAGATCAAACAAATCCACGAACTCCCCATTAAGGATGCGTTCCCGAAACTTCTCACGCAAGCGAATGCCTGGGGGCTGGTCGGTTCTTTTGTGGTTGGATTTCCTAACTCTACCTCTGGAGTCAATGCCCTCCTCCCCGCACGGCGCGATAGCACCATGTTCACGCCTGTGCCTCCGGTTGCGGCGCCGCCAGACCCAGTGTGGCAGCCCTGGGGCGTCGGGGCCTGTAACCCAATAGCCATTGATGTTCTCCCCCTGTTCACTATCAGTGGAGCTGGACCTACCTGAGGAACTAGGTGATCCAGATGAGTCCCTCTTGGACTTGTAGCCCCTCCTCCTGGATTTGTGGTGTTTCCTCCCGCGATGACGCGATCTGCGCGACTCAGAGCTCTTGTCACTCTTGTACCTATCGGAGGAACTAGGTGATCCAGATGAGTCCCTCTTGGACTTGTGGCCCCTCCTCCTGGATTTGTGGGGTTTCCTCCCGCGATGACGCGATCTGCGTGACTCAGGGCTCTCGTCACTCTTGTACCTGTCAGAGGAGCTGGAACGGGGGGACCTACCCCTACGCCTGGTGGATGCGGATGATGAACGTGACCCACCCTCCTGAGCACGGTGGTCAGAGGAGCTGCTACTGCGCCCTCGCCTGCGGCCGTGAGGTGACCCGGAGCTCCCTCTGCGTGAATCCCGCCGCTCCAGGCGGCGCCTCAGCCGGGCAATGGTCCTATCCCTACTGTCTCCACGCGCCGAGTGCGAGGGACTGCTACTAAGGGAGGAGCGGGTAGAGGAGGAGCTCTCTGTACATCTCGGCTTGACAGCCGACCCCTTGCCGGTGCGGCTTGGCAAGGCTAGTGGGCTTATGTACCCAGAAGACCCTCTAGGTGCCGCTGCCCTCTTGGGCGCGGTCTTCTTGGGCTTGGGCTGCTCCTCCCTGGGCGCACGCACCTTCCGCTGTCCAGAGGCCTGACCTTGGGCAGGCTTGGTGGGCGCACCCCTTACAGTGCCCCTTCTGGTGCGGGGAGGAGAAGCAGCCTGACGCTTTGGCGGCATGGTGTGGGGCTAATAGAGTAGGGTATGCTAGGGAATCCGTAAAACAGGGGGGGGGCAGTGATTGGTAGGAAATGCCCGCTATCAATTTGCAAACACACACTAGTGATAAAGGTAAGGGTACGAATAATGGGAGGGGAGGAGATAAGGCAAGAACTGAGTCGCAGCAGGAATCGCTACTGAGGGCTGCAAAATAAAACAAGCAATAGTTTAGAAAATCACTGCACAGATTTCAGATGAGGTCCATGGGCAGTCTCCCCTCGTCGATAATGAGCGCGATGCCTGCTGTCCGCTGCACCTGCTGGCAAGCCATGATGGTGAGATGTAAAACCAATACGTACCTAATGAGGCCATAGGTGTGCCTGAGGACCACTGAGGCATGACCGCCCATGCAGCCAGATCCAGGGTGGCCACCGCCATGTGGCCACCGGCGCAATGGCTGCCGCCATGCGGTCGCCATTGAAATGGCTGCAGACATGGAGCCACCACCAAGGGGCCCTGCACGCCCCCAACAGGGACCAGTCCTGCAGCAGCTTGGCAGGGCCCCGTGATGCGGCACCCCCCCGCCACACAGTTCAGGGGGGGCCGAGCATGCTCGCCGGCTGTAGGGGTCCCCCACCACCACCCAGGGAAGGGTCCAGGGTCGCCAGAGGCCTGGCTTAGGACGTGCGAGGCGGCAGCGCCTCCCTGCGGCCTTAGAAGGCCGGCCAAAGCTGGGGGAGGCAGCGCGGCATGGCCCTCCCCCCCACGAAACGTGGGGGCGGCAGGAAGGCCCCCGCCACCCAGGGGAGGCTCCAGGGCCGCCGGAGGCCCGACTAGGCAGCGGAGCCTCCCGAGGCCCCAGCCAGGCCTCCCCGAGGCCCGGCTAGGCCTAAGAAGCCAGGGGAGGCCGCATGGCGCGGCCCGCGGCCCCCCCGACGACCGTGGGGGCGGCAGGAAGGCCCCCGCCACCCAGAGGAGGCTCCAGGGCCGCCGGAGGCCCGACTAGGCCGCGGAGCCTCCCGAGGCCCAGCCAGGCCTCCCTGAGGCCCAGCTAGGCCCACGAAGCCCGGGGAGGCCGCATGGCGCGGCCCGCGGCCCCCCCGACAATCGCGGGGGCGGCAGGAAGGCCCCCGCCACCCAGGGGAGGCTCCAGGGCCGCCGGAGGCCCGATTAGGCCGCGGAGCCTCCCGAGGCCCAGCCAGGCCTATGAAGCCTGGGGAGGCCGCATGGCGCGGCCCGCGCCCCCCCCCCCCGGCGATCGCGGGGGCGGCAGGAAGGCCCCCGCCACCCAGAGGAGGCTCCAGGGCCGCCGGAGGCCCGACTAGGCCGCGGAGCCTCCCGAGGCCCAGCCAGGCCTCCCTGAGGCCCGGCTGGGCCTACGAAGCCTGGGGAGGCCGCATGGCGCAGCCCGCGGCCCCCCCGGCGATCGCGGGGGCGGCAGGAAGGCCCCCGCCACCCAGGGGAGGCTCCGGGGCCGCCGGAGGCCCGATTAGGCCGCGGAACGCGGCGGAGCCCCCCCGAGGCCCAGTAAGGCCTCCCCAAAACACCACAGGCCTCCCCGCGGCCCAGACAGGTCACCCGGAGGCCTCTGAGGCCCCGCGGATGACCAGGGACCCCCCCGCCACCACCCGCCACACCCCAGGGCCGCCAGGCCTGGCGGGGGAAGAGAAGGGGCGCGTGTGGCGTTGCCCTCCCCCCCCGCGGCCCACACGCCCCCAAAGGCATGGGGGGGTGGCCAGAGGGGCCCCCGTGCCATCACCCAAAACCCTGGGGCATCAGGGCTCGCCTAGGGAAAAAAGGATCCCCTTTTAAAAGGGGATCCTGAAAACCATTACCCCCCACTATCCTTTGGGAACCCTGTCGCGGGGGGGGGGAGGCCAAAGGCCCCAAGCTTACCTTTAGGAGCGAGGAAGTCCAGCGACGTTCCTCAAGAAGCTCTGGAGCCAAGTGAGGATTCCTAGGTAAGATCCTCCCTCTATTGTGTGGGCAGGTAATCCCTCCCCTACCTGGCCTGGTCTCCTTGGCAACGCTTCCCCCAGGTGGGATTGGACAACTGACTGAGGTAGGCGGAGACCTCCAGGTATCCCACCTGAGGGAAGGCAAAGCCAAGCCTATGCTGTTGGGGCGCTCCAGATCTAGGGGCTGCACGCGCCCGCGCAAAGGGCGCCCCCCGTTTTAAGTGGGGAGCGGTCATTCCTAATGCCAGCAAAGATTCCAGAACCCACATTAAACCATTGCTTTGGGGCAACCATAAACATGGTGCTAAGTGAAAGCAGTATTGAAACAAGAACTACTACAAAGGTTTTGATTAGGTACTAAAATGAATCCATTGTGGGAAGTGATATGGACAGAAGAAATCCACAACAAAAGCAGACATGCAAGTAATGATTTCGGAGCAGCTCGAGAAACCAAAACAATGTCATCTTTCTGACAATAATAATCACCAACACGTTTTAATCAATGAATTCAGGAATTCACTAGCTCAAATGATTTTGAGTGGTGGAATGCAATTATGTAATTGGCTGATTGAGTGCTTTGCTGCACATCTTGCACAACTGCTTTACTACATAGCCACATGGAACTCATTTTTGTGGGTTCAGACATTCCCCCAGTTTGTGCTACCTAGATATAATGGGCCTGCCAAGCCAATTTTCTAAGCCACAATGTGAACTACTGCTGCTGCCGCTGCTGCTGCTACTTGTTGTTGTTGTTGTTGTTGTTGTTAACTTTTAACAGCTAGATCCTATACTTGTAGCTGACTGGCTAAAGTCACTTTTGAGGGAAATGTGACTCTTTGTGCTTACCCTAAGCCTTCCATGTCTTTAATTGCTTTCCTGTATCTTCAAGTCACTTCTCAAAACCCGTCTAATCCACAATGCCAAGAAATGAAAATATATCTTCATGTCATAAAAAAGAGAACAGTTCACAAGTTTATCAACAGCAGGCTTGCTGACATCAGGAATTTGTGTAACTATTTGCTTCACCGCACTCTCTCTGCCAGCCCCTGGACATGGTTTTTTCCAAGTTGATACCCATGATGAGCTCTCGTCAAGTTAGCGGTTGTTAAAGACGTTTCTTTGGCTATCGGGCCTTATATTTTGCTGATGCTAAAATAAGAGTAACTCTTAGGGTTGAAATGATATGTATTAATCTTCAACTGTTTCAGACCTAACCTGCAACTTGAAACCCACTTTTGATTCTTAAGTGTATATGTCTTTCTGCAATTCCTGGTAGAATTGTGAGGTAGAAAGGTGGGCAAAATTTTTGTCCAATATCTTTAGTGGTTGTATAAGAGAGGCAGGTTTTCTGCCCTCATTTGGGTCTGGTCTTGGATTCACCTTCTCCTTCCCTCCGAAATGATATACCGCCAGTGGTGTGATACCTTATGTAATGTTGAGGAACAACTATTTGTGAGTAAGATGCAGTTCCAGGCTAAAGGCGTCTACAAAATAATTAAACAGAACAAAAGGATTAACAGATGTTTTTCAATACCCAACCTGTAATATATATTCCAACAGTTTTGGAAGAAGTACTGAAAATGTTGTGTAAGATCTTTGGAGATGCTTGGGGAAACAAAACCAAGCATTTCTAAATATTTTTCAGATAAACTTCCCAGTTTATTTTGCATTCAACCAAGGAGCAAGCTTATATCATATTGGTATTTGTTGCAGAATTTGTACGCTTTCCATTTTGGAGCAGAAAATTCACTGTTTCTTTGCCTACTCAGAAACTAGTGAGTGATGACTTAAAGGGGTATGATAGATACCCTCTTGGAAAAGACTCATTTGTTGAGTTGCAGGATGTGTGAAAAGTTGCATTTTCACTCTTCACAAGAGGCAAATGTATGGTTCTAATTACTTTCCAGGCATTTATCCTGTGGCTGAAATATTTGAATCCAGTCTCTGGGCCTGAGTGCCAATGCCCCATACTAATTTGCTGTAGCCTTCGTTTCAGTATTTCACATTCCCCCCCCCCATGGTCGGTCCAGGTGCAAGCTGAAGTCGATAAAAGCTGGCAGCATTTGTTTTATTGTGAACCTTATTCAGCCTGATATTTAATTACGTTTCCGTGTGGATTTGTAATGTGGATTAATAGTTTTATTGTAAGCCTGCGATTAGTTTCTGTTTGTTCTAATTTCTGTTTGGCTCTCTTGACCTTGAGGTGAAAATCCCCCACACAGAGAAGATGTATTCCCTCAATTTAATGCCAGTCTGAGGTGTTTCTCCTGCATCATCAGATCAATGAAAAGTAAATAGCCTACACTTCTTGTTTCACAGTGCAGTATTGATCTTTCTTCAGCTTTTGCTTCCCTTTTTTTCCCTGCGTCTTGTGTCTTTCAACCCCTGGGACCAAAGTGATTGCCATAGATTGGACAAGCTAACAAGCGCATGATAAGGAACTAGTGTTTTGTGGTATTCTCGCATACACATGCTTGGTATATAAACCCAGACTTCTCTGCATTGAAAGAGAGGTGCCATTTTGTGTATGGCACAAGTCGCTGTGAGAGACAAACCAGAGGGAAAGCAGTAGAACAACAGAGGATTTAATTCTTCACACCGGTCTTTTATTTTTGCAGCTGGTGCCAAGCATGGTAAGGACATCCCTGGACATTACTTAAGACAAGAAGCCCTGTGGGGAACGTTGTAAGCCTTTTCTTGCCTTGGTGAACATATGGGACTCTGGCAGCTTGGAAGGTAAGTCTGAACTTGAGACGGTAGTGACCATATTTTCATTTTTGTCAAGCCCTGTTTGAATGCTGGCTTTCAACATCCTGTGTCACACATGTTACAGGCAGTGCTTTGAAGTTACTAACAAAGATGGTTCTTTTTTCTTATTGTAAGTAAAAGATGGGTTTCCCATTGCTTCTCAGAAGTTTGTTTTGTTTGATTGTTTGGGGTTTTTTTTAAAAAAAGAATGGGTTGATTTTAGGGAGGAGAAATGCATTCACTTGCCTTCTAAATGTATAATGTAATGGAAATACCATACTTTGTAAATCTAAGTGCTTACCTCTCTTCAAGTCT